AGTTTCATCTGCTGCACGCGCTCGCCTTTTATGTAAGAAAGGTTGGAAGTAAATCACTAAAATGAGATGATGACGAGAGTGTGTGCAACATGACATTTATTTTTATTTTACTAATCGACCGTTGCAGACGCCAGCAAGCGCAGCGCGCGTAACAAACAACCCCTTCATCTCCTCATTGCTCGGGAAACGAATTAAAGGTATATTCGCGCAAGCAAAGGAAAAGAGCATACAAACTTGCGAATTATCCACAAAAAACATCACAAAGCTAAATGTCTATTCCAGGTCTTTGTTTGCGAAAAATTTATTTGGTGTGCTCTGCCTCTCCAGTACCGCAGTCCGGTCCTCACCGGCATCGCCTCATTTTGAGCAATTTTTGCTTCTCCCTTTGGGGATCTCGATCCTTGTTAACAGCCTTAGCAAAGAAATGCATCCTGGTCAGAGCATAGAATTTGATGACATTTGCTGTGACCAAGCGCCCATGCTCACTGCAGCCAACCTCCTGCAGTGCATGCCCCTGAAGGAAGCGCAGGAAACAGATCATGCTTTTAGCATGGAGCTTGTTTCTGGTAAAGAAAACAGTGAAGGCGTTTTCCAGTCTGGTTACCAGTGCCTCCAGTGGTTTCGAAGGGTACAGCAAACCCCCATGATCGAATTCTCTCGTCAATGAGGCGTTGCCATTGCACTCGGCCTGCAGGGGCAGGACACTCAAGCAAGATGCACATTCTGGGCACGGGAATTTTTTGAGGGACTTGCGGACAACGTAACCCGCTACGTAATATATCAGCCGACTGTCACTTCTTTTCTCGACACAGACGTGGTGGTCAATCAGGCTACTGTGCTCTTTTAGCACAACTGCGGCATGAGTCAGACTTCCCTCGTCCAACAGTTCATCAACGAGCGCCGTTACACGAGCAGCCTTTTCTTTTCCAGCATCAGATGGCTGCAAAAGTGCAGTTACAAGCTCAGCTGGCGAGTTTCCATTCTTTGGTGGTCTTGCAAGGCTGTAGAAAGTTAGGTTGTTAATAATGACCAAAAACTGCTCAGGGGAGGGGTGGTCATTACATCCAAAGGATTGTCGCACAATCCCAAAGATGTTTTCTAGTTTATCTTGACTAAGGTTTGCAGTCAACAAGTACTTGTAGTGCACTGAGGTAATCAGATAGTCCAGAAGTGACAGTGTGCTCTGTAGAGTCACACGGAGTCCAAGGGCAGTCCCTGCGCTTAGGAATCCACCACCGTGTTGGGCAGCGTACTCTTCCCATTCACTTAAGAAGGCAATGAACTTTTTCAAAAACTGGGCACTTCCTGACTGGGCTCGAAGGCCCTTAGACGGGACCCTGGATGACATCACGAAAATCAACATCTCCATCAGCTTCACAAACTGCTCTGTTGGCTCCGTTGTTCTGAACCTTCTTTCCAAGTCACCTTTATAAAAGAAAAGCCCTTTCAACACCTCTTGACTGAACAGTTGAAAAGCCAAATTCACACACATTTTTTCAAACGCGTTCGGTTGTACATGTGCCTGTGTTATGTGTGGCATCACTTTCAGTGTCAATGCTTCCTTGTCCCTTTTCCATGCCTCTTTGATGACATCAACATGAGCATGACCACATGGAATCTGTACGCCTTTTGAGACAAAAGTATTCCGCACGCATTTGATCAGATGAGGAAAATCGGAGATGAAGTGTAGGCTCCTTGCTGTGTCGACAGGATGGGGAACCTTGCAGGTGATTTCCTTAGACGAAGCTGCACAAGTAAGGAATATCTGTGAATAACAGGAGATAAGCAACAAAAGCCTTTCACTGTGATTCTGGGACGGAAATTATCCACCTTTGATGCCGAGCAGCTTCCAGAGACAGCGATTCCAGGGAGCACCATCACTTGTCCAGAAATCGACGAAGAGGCCGGAATTTTCAGCCAGTATCGTAGCCTCCAGGAGAATCTTCGAGAGGACAGGCACCTTTACATTGCCTCTGGAAGCAAAGACTCCGAGGATTTGTGTCCACTTTCCTGCAAAAATAAGATGTTTCACTGTGAGAAATATAAAAATGTAAATCACGGCTTAGGCATCACTGAAGTAAATATGTTGTAAATGACATCACAAACTTCACTAGGTGGACTAGGCTCTAGGATGTACAACAACCGAAAAAGACGTACAATTGTATTGCCGTCACGACATACTTATTTAAATTAACTTGCCTTTAAAGGGTTGAAATACTACGACGAGGCCGTGGTCACTCAGTGCTGTCTCGTTGCTATCCTCCATGAAAGGACCGAGGTCAACGAAGCCAGTCAGTTCGCCAGATGCCGTCACATTGATGTTCTCGGAGAGCTTAATCTCGTCATACACAAGACCACCATGGCGGCTGAACTCGTCCATGTCTCGTGTTTTCTTTTCCAAAGCTGAAAACACACTAGTGTTGAAACCAAACGTGCTTTTAAATCCCTGCATGTGTTTGTCCAGGCATGATTTGCTCGGCAAGGCAAGAATCTTGTGTCTTCTAACATACTCGTAGAGTTGGGGGCTTCTCATGCGCATCAAAATGCACTCCAGGACCCACTGCATGTCGTACGCCATGCCTCGGCTTGATTTTCTGGATGCCGCCTCAAAACAGGTTCTTACAGCAAGACGCTGCTTTGGTGGGAGGCTCCTGATTTTCTCCTCCAAAACTGAGCTGGAAATTGTTTCTGTGACTGTTCGAAGCTTTGCAACACTTTCTTGGGCTTTTTCTAGCCTTTTTTTCGCCCGGAACAGCTGAAGGGACTTCCTGGCAATCCGTTGCTGAAATGTTGTTCGACGGTTCTTCTTGAGCCTGTACGTCTGGTTTTGGATGAGCTTTTTTGTGTATTTGCATCGTAAACAAGCTCTTCCGTCGGGTGTTGTCACACAGCAGTTTTTTGCGAAGTGCATGGAACCAAACTGGACACACTGACCAGCTGCCACTGGCTCAATTTCACAGCCTGGGCAAAGAAGCAATTGCTCGGCCTTTTTCAATGCCCCAAGGGCGTCATCTCGTCTACTTACACAAATTTCTTCGACTTTGATGCCTCGGCAATATATGGCGCAAAGGTATGCGCTCCCCTGTGCAGCGGTGGCTTCGGCACATGCCGAGAACGTAACGTGCTTTATGACACGCACATCGTCTGATTCCATCCTGGCGTGCCATCCAAAGCACAATGCCGTTGGATCGTTCGATAAAATGATTCTGCTGCAATACATCGAGGGTGGCAGAATGTCGCTGAACGGGTGCGTCTCCGGCGCTGGTTCTGTACAGGCATTTCCAGGATCACAGTCATGCGTGGATCCGCTTGCAGCCCTGCGTTTCACTGGTGGGGTACCACGGTCAGCGAGGTTCCTTTCTTTCCTCTTTTTGGGGACAGGCCTTGTCAGATACGAGGGGGCGTCGGGGAATATCGTAGGGACGGCGTCGTCGGTGAGCACTGGCCGTTCGCGGTCCAGCTCGACGAGCTCGCCATTGATGACGTGCTTGAAAGTTTTTTCTATGTAGCGTTCATCAAAGTGACGGGAACACACGACACAGGTTTCGTCGAGAACTTTGTCTTCTCGCTTGATGTTCCTCGCCCATTCTTGCCGACGAAGGGGGTCGACTGGAGCCCGGAACAACGATACTTTTTCTGCAGCCGATTTGTAGCCGCCTTTGCACAACGGCACGAAGCAGGTCCTACCTTTCTTCGCCGGCATGATCAGATGCATCCAACACACTGACGCATGACACACCGTTGGTCTCTCGTTGTGCACCGCGATGTAATCCACAGATCCGCACAAACAACAAAGGAAGACCCTCGGACGGCTCGGTTCTGTCACACGGAAACATGTGCTTCCGCCATTTTCGCCCGGGCCGCCTACGGGGAGAATAGCGCGCCTGCTGGACGCAGCGCCACCTGCGCGCGTCATCCAAACCGGTTTCTGCGTGGCCGCTTGAAAGAGCGTACGCTCGGGACACTAGGAAACCCTTTCTAGCCTCTGTACGTTGGCGGTGCGGTGTCATTTTAATTCTTGTTATCACATCAGGTCAGGGCCCAAAGTAGTCCTATAAATAAATCAAATCTAAAGATGTCACTGGCAAAACTCGCAGTTCTGCCAGTGACATCTGCTGGCATCGTATTGGGAGCCGCATGAAACCTCCTCGCGGTCCCCCTGTTGCCGACCCCTGATCTAGCGTAAAAAACTTAAACATTTTATTCATACTGTTGAAGACAGTCTTTAAAGGAAAGCTGAAACACTTCTTGAAATATATGAGTTAGAGGTGAATTCTGGCGTATTTCTATCCCATGAATTTAAATATCGCATTCGCTTTCCCCGAGGATGTAACTAAGTGCGAGAAATCACGAGAAACATCCGACCAGTCAGGACGTCATACTAGGATCTTTGGGCTGCCAAGCGCGTGTCACTCGTGTGGGCAGTGCGTGCAATTGCAAGCTTGCCAGGTATATTTTTCCATACTGACACCAGTCGGAACGTCTGTTTCTGACCTTTTTAAAAATAGCCAGAGTGCGCGTGCGTAGGTTTCACAGGCACTGAAGATGCGCGAAAGCAGAGATTCCGAAGACTCCTAATATGACGTCACACCCTGGGAAAGAGGGGCTTCAGCGGTACTTCAAAAATTAATTTCTGCAGCCTCCGTGCACCAAATTGAAAAATAATCTCGATATTCGTGATTCTGGAGGCCAAATGAAGACGATTTAGATGTTTCTCCTCAAATACAAAACCACTTCGATTTCTCTTTAAAGCAATTGTATAGTTAAGAGTGTATGTAAAATATTGTTGTGGAAGATGATGGTTAACACAAAATGAAGGATGCGGAAGACAAGAAAATGTTTGTGTTGGAGAATGGATGCCATTTGTGCTTGATAGCGAAACCTGTCTGAACGAGGCCTTTGACGTACAAACATTTGGGTTGTAAGAGTGTGTGTTTTTCTGCAAAATGGTCAAAGTGGGGTATTCATGTACATCACTTCCATTGAATCGGCTTTTTCAGAAAAGATATTCTTCCGGCAAATTCAGAAGATGGCTCAAGATAAGCTGCACCAGGGTCTGCTTTACTATGGTAGGTTGTGGTGTTCTTTCAACGCCAATACAAACATGCCTTTTCAGGTTGGAAGCTCCATTCTTGACTTCTAACCTTTTACTTGTGTGTAAGGTTTAGCAGATTCTAGAAAATTAATACAGTGATGGTGCTTGCTTTGGTAGATGAAAACTGTATTTTGGATGTTTTATTAATGCTTCTGCTTATCTAGCATAGCAGCAGTTTCCCTCAAAGGGATTCAAATCACTCCGGCAGTTAATCGCTTCCCCTCCTTTCCTTGATGTCACTGGTGTCGTGAATTTGATGAACAATCTTTTTGGCAGCGGACACCGTGGGTGACGTTGAGGGCTGCTGGGTTCTTGCAGTGATTTTCCAGCTTTTTACCTACGCGAATTTATATTGCAAAGTCGTGCTGGCATCCACTTTCGTGAGAGTTCAGTGGTCATGTCGCCGTCGAATCCACTTCTTTCCGCTTTATGTCGGAGGATTATCTTGGGTGGAATGAAAAAACGCCAGTAGGAAGGAGAGGGGACAAGCCGCTTTGTGCTAACTTGGGGGTGACAAATAAGCCATCATGAACACAAAAGCAATATCTTCCTAGCTGGGTCCAAGTCACCGTAGCTTAGTGGACCTGACAGGGTCTAGGCCCTTATTCGAAGGAATATTAGCGCGCTCGTGCCACGCCCACACATCTTCCACCCAAAAAACCCTCAAACCGGGAGTCCGGAAAAGGATGTATTTTTTAGTGTGCCCGTTTCGTCAAGCCGTTAGGCCTAGCAACTGCCAAGACTATGGTTAACACGCTTTGTGAGAGCTGACTGCTTTTCCTCGTGGGTTTCCTGCTCACACCTGATTTATGTCAAGTCACAAAATTGTAGTTGTACATGTGTTTCCTTGCTGTGGTTTCTGAGGGGCAACGAGAAAATGCTTTGGTTGCCGCAGTACACGGGCTAAGTGATAGTGCGGCATCACCGCCGTGCAGCCTCACCAGGCTCTGTCCGCCTCTCTACTGGTTTTAATAAATTAAAGGATGCTCAAAATGATGTGAGGTATAGCATTTCGAGCATCTTTGAGTAGTGATTATCCATCTGTGAAACGTGGTGCCCTTGTTAAGTCTCGTCATTGTGATAGATTGCATGGTAATACAGGTAAGCAACGATTGTCTCGTCCTATTACTGTCACTGATGAAGGCATCATTTGTCGAAGTTACGACCGTATCCTGCCGTCACCATCGACGACATTAGGTGCAAAAATCTTCCGGTCCTCTTCACCATAGCTGTGCATCGCCTTGCCTTGACCAGCAGTGAGCTACACTGCTGATCGAGCACCTTAATCCAGTGTTGCCATGTCCCGCTGCAGACGAGGCACTATTTTCTCGAAAGTGAAGCGAATGCATTACGGCCTATGGGTGGGGTACCTACCGAGTTCTTAAAGCGGTACTGAAACAAAATTCTAGCACCTATTTTTATTGTCTAAATGTCAACTATGTTGTGGAAACATCACAGACACCAATTTTTTTGTTTAGAGAGTCGCAAAGCGAATAAAACAATCGACAGGTTGCACCTGGTTGATGTTCCCAAAGCTATTTCAAACGTTGTTACATCAATATTCCCATTAAATAGCGCCGCTCCGTGGTAGTACGGCAGCAAGGTATGTGTGTGCTTCATGAGCGTCGCCACCAAGTGGCGGCGCTCATGACCACACGAACCATGCCGTAGCCTTGCCCTTGCTTGGACAAGTGACGTCACAAGTGCGCCGGAGGCGGTGGATCTCCCGAGTCGCATCGTGCTCTCCGCTGGCTGCTCTTCGAGCACTCGTTAGAATCGGATGAAAAAATAGTCATCCGATCAAAATACAAATGTGTGATTTTCATTTACAGATATTGTTGATTATAGCTAACTTCTTTCTGAATGTCGGAGGCATGCTGTAAACAACTTAATTTTCGCGAGGACCTAATTTTCGCGAATCATCTACAATTCGCGAAAAATAGGTCCCACAAACATTTCCGGTAAAATGTAAACACATTGGAATCTATATTGAGATCCCACCGCGTTGCGAAAATTAGAACCTGCGAATTTTTCCAAAACTTCAGCTTTGACCTAAATCGCGAAATATTGAGCCGCGAAAAATAAATTGTTTTCAGTATTTCAATTTTCACTTCACTATCCCTTTAACCTGTCACTATGGTATAGTGTTTGAAGCAACCTTTGTGGGGGAAAAGTATGGTGTTACAAGGGCTGATAGTACTCTGCATTCTTTTTTCTCACCAGAGGAGAGCTTTGCTGCAGACACCCTGCGTAATGCTGTGAAGCTCTACGAGCAGTGGGGCATTGTGGAGCACCACAGGCAAGATGGCATGCGCATCCTCTACCTGAGTGAACGGTGGAACTCTGACGAGGCTGTCGACTCTGTGATCGGTCTGGTGGGGGCATACAGGCGGTGATGTGCGTGATAGGGCCATGCTGTGATTGGGTTAGGGGTTTGTACTGTGCACTTTCTCTCCGGGATGTACTGAAGAACTGAGTGCCAAGTTACATTCTTGACGAGTACTGCAGGCATTCTTGTTTGTGGTTTTTGCAGTGGGTGGACATTTTGAAATGCCATTTTTTGTGCTCTGGTCATTTGGTGTATTTCCTACTCCGAGTTTGTGCGCTTTTTAAGGAGTTGTAAACTCCTTCGGTATTATTTTTTATCAGGTTGAAAACTGGGATTCTGTGTGTACATGCGTGTGTGTAATGAAATTTGTTGTGCACTCTTGCTGCATCCACCTGAAGACTATGGATGGTGCTGCTGAGCTATGGTTTGAGGCTGTGTTCAAGATACTTCTTAGTACTTAAAATTACTTTATAGCAAGAGCACTTTATTAGGTGACAGTGTATAATCCTTGCTTCTTATTGCCTTAATCATTTGAATGACTTCAATGGTTTATGAAAATGGGACTAAAGTGGCATCCCTTTAAGTGAGTATTTTGTTTGAATTGTTAAAACACTATTTTTGTTTTCTGGGGCATTTGAAAAGGTGTGGTTGCAGTGCCTTGGGCAAGATGCTATGTTTCATTTCCACATTCTAGCTTTAACATTGTCTAATCACAAAAATGAGGCATTGCTTGTGGCCCTTGTACATATTGTTTTCTCACTTGTTAATACCATTCCTCCATTGCGATAGCATACTTGGCTCATGAGGCGACTGTTCAAATGCGGGTATAATCATGGTGAACACGGGAACTAGTGGTACAGCCTTCAAATGCAGTGCCTTCAGTTGGTGCATTTTGTTCTTACTGTTTGTCTGCCTTATGGAGTAAATAAATGTTGTAAGTTCATGTTAATGCTCGGCATTCCTAATCTCTGTTATTACGGCAGTGTAGACTTGATCATGTTCCAGCATATAAACGGTGTTTCACGGAACATGGGCTAAATCATTCCTACAAAAACTATGCATCCCAAAAGAGGCAAATGTAGCGATCTCTGCCAAAGGGCTCGTTAGGAAAATTAATACTGTTAACGATAGTTAGGTCATTAATTATTTTCGGGTAATTAACTTTTTACAGTGGAGCTGTTAAGGGCTACTTTCCCCAGGATCGTGTCTGTCTTTAAATGACCTGATGACGCAGAACTCTAGACAGCTACCGCCATCTATGAGCGACAGCGGCAACCAGGCAACCGGCTTGCCGGTTGTTGCTGCCGTCGCTCATAGATGGCGGCAACCTTTCGAGGCCTTTCCACTCTGGCTTGCTGACTTGCGGCCGGCCATTACTTCATTCCCACCATAGTACAGCTTCGCTGGTCTTCCTTCTTCTCCAGAGTGGAAAGGCTGAAAGTTTTTACTTGTAGTATCCCGAGTTATCACCCATCCCCAAGTCATTCCCACCCCACTTTTTGGACAAATATCAAGTACCCCAACGCGGGCCCCGTGATCTGCAAACATTAATCCTCCCCGAATGTCGCGACCGCGGACCCTACGGTTAGAAGACGTCTGTGACAAAGTAAAACGGAAGGGAAAGAAACTTTACTTTGGACGTAACTTCCCCGATTTCCACGACCCCAAAGTGAGTACAATCGTGTGAAAGGAAAGCGATAGCGATAAGAAAGTAAAGCTTTGTTTTGCTTAAAAAAAAGTAAGTTCATTCGGACAAAAAAAAAATTAACTATAACACAAGCAGTACATATCTAGGGAATGCGAGATCAGTGAACACCCAATATAGGATGAGTCAAAGGGATCGATGGCTGTTTGAATCATAGAGATCATACATACTAACTCTAGAGGAAAAGGTCCGCCATTTTCCCATACATTCTGGCTGCCGCAAGCGGCGGAGCATGCAGGCAGACCCTCGGGGTCCCAAAGGTCCCAAACACGGTTACATCATCAGAGCAGTTTCGTGAACTTCAACAATCCACGAACTTACCGGTGGAAAGATATTCGCGTTCCTTTCGAAGCTTTCTTTTTGCATAGCGCGCAGATGTACGGCCTCGCGTTAACGCTAAACTAAGCCATATACGCGGCTTCGCCGGTGGGGCGCGGGTGGGCGCGGTTGAGAAATACGAAACTGCGCAACCACCAGATTTCCGAGATTTCGACAGAAGGGAAGTTAATGCAGCGTAATGACTTTATTGCTTTTTATAAGCGTTAGAATAGCTCAGAATTTAGTTTACAACGTTAAATTATCACTGTTTATATTGCTGAGAGTTTTCACTCTTCGCATTTACCATGGCAACGTTGCTTTTTTTCTCTCGTGTTCTGTCACTCTCTTTTGCGTTCGTTCACTCGGGACCCCGGGTGTCGGCGCACGGGATTTGCCACTCCTCCTCACCCACCTTTACCCCCCTGGTTTGAATGGACTGCATAAATCAGTTTTTGAACTTGCCAAGCCAAGCTTTTACACGGAGGTGGCCGAAGAACGTGCATGAAGGGTATAGAAATTCTACTGAACAAACTTACCTGAGTAAAAATAATTAAAAACTTAAAATATCTACCTACGGCGGCCGTCTGCTAATAAAAGGCGTCTGATTGGCGCAACCGCCTACAGATGGCGGCACGTAAGATCGCTCACATTGGGTGCGTAAAGTGCGAACGCAGATAAAGGCTGTCGAAAGGGAGCGCTGGATATTGGGAATGCAACAGCATACTAGCATGCATTTGTATGCATCTTTCAAGACCGAGATCGCTCCAATAACGTTCTGCAAAAACACGCTGGGAAGTCGCCTACTCATCGAGGCCCGCGGTGGTGCCCTGCGCACAAGACAGTACCGTCGAAAGTTTGACAGCAACGTGACGGACATGACATGCAGCGCCTGTGGAGAAGACGAAGAGACCACCAAGCATTTGCTGCTCACGTGCCAGAAGCTCCTGCCAGCGCCCATTGGGGATTCCCGCATCGAGCAGGCACTCGGCTTCACGAACGAACATGACCACGTGGCCTGTTCTAGGCAAAGACTGGAGGCGTGGTGGAAAGTGCGACGGTGATTTGCGCACCGAGAAGTCAGCGCGTACCGATCGGACCACCGTGATCGTGTAGCTGTTACCCTCCGCCCACCAGGGGTCATCGACGACAGATGGTGGGCCCTGACGACCTCCCCCCTTCTCTCCCCCTTTTTTTTCTTTCTTTTCTTTCCTTTTTTTCTTTTTTAACTTTTTTGGCGTGTCGAACTTCGACTCTCGTTTCAAAGAGATTGCGCCGCAGAATACAATACAATACAATACAATACACAGGTGCCTAAACTAGAGCACTATATAGCTCCTTCGGAGCAGAGATGATGATGGTTTGCGGCTGTTCCCTTTTGAATCGGGCGGTCCCGTAGAGTTTGGAACCTAGCCAGTGGGAATTCGGTTATCCCCGTTGGTGAACTAGCATCCACCAGTTCTCTAATCTTCGTTTCGTGGCTTCCACCTGCTCACGCCACCCTCCGTTGGTTCTCGGTGTAGCGTCGGTGTTGTCGCCGTTAGTCCCACCCGCAGAGTCTGCCACTGAGCTGGAAGCAGACCCAAAGCCGAGTGCCTCTGCCAGTGCGAGCTCCCGGGTTGCCTGTCCACACTTCGCCGGTTGAACTGGTTGCAGACCGGTGCACGACAGCACGATGTGTTCAATTGTCTCATCCGCCTGACTACACACACGGCATGCTGCAGATTCCACCGTCTGGTCGAAGCGACGGCGATACATCTGCGTTCGCAGCCCTCCTGCGCGTGACTCAAAGAGGAGCCGGCTGCCCAGGCTGTTGTCGTATAGCCTAGTCTCTGCCGAAATGGTGTGCTTATATCGACTGTACATATATAGCGTCGACTTGGACTTCGCCGTTTCTGCCCACCGAGCTGCCTCCTCCTCTCTCACCCTGTTTCGAATCTCCATCTCCCACTTCCTGTCTGATGTAATAGTTACAGGGGTTGAAAAGAAGTCGTATTTCTTCTCTAACTGATACAGCCGCTTCCTCCAGCCAGTCTGCATTCCCGTGAGATATGTGTAGACGAAGAGTCTCTTGGCCCACCGGCCGCGGTCCATGAGTAGCGCAATCTAGAACGCCATCTCTCGGCGACTAGCGGCGAACGCCCGGAGGTTCCAACTGCGGTCAGAAATGCATGGAGAACGTGAGAAAATCGTTGTTTCTTCAGTTTTGTGGGGATGTGCGGAATGGAAATCATTTTTGACATAATAATAAAACATTTTAGAATAATATGCGATAAGTTTTGTGCCACACAAGGACGTAACTTTTTTTTAAAAATTGCCTGAGCGGCGTCATGCAGCAGACGACACGGCGACGTCACACCATTCACGTGACCCGCTCCGGCCAACCCGAAAAGCCCATCTCTGCTGCGAGCAAAAATCGTCTGCTCCAAACGCCATTGCCTTGGAAATTGCCTTCTCAAAATTTGCACACGCATCCGATATTATTAAAACTTTGATAAAGTGTTTAGCGCTTTACTAACTTCACGACAGGCTAGTTTTGAAAAATGTGAACTCGCCGTTAGTTTTTTAATCAGCCGTGTTATGTCGATCTCCATGTATTCCACGTGACTCGCACCGAGCCGCTCTGTCGGCCATGTTGTCGGCAAAACACGGGGTTCAAAGGATTGCGCTACTCTGCTCCGTAGGAGCTATATAGTGCTCTAGCCTAAACCAGAGAGTTATTATAATGTACGCTAGAGGTTCAACTGGCGCTACTGGCGCTAGTGTGCTGTTGCAAATTGAAGCAAACAGCAAGCAGTCAGAAATTGACTTCCGGTAATGCATTTCTACGGAAAAAAGCGAGTGCATTTCCTCCCTGCGCTCGATTATAAGAGCAAATATCACGAATAATTCGTACCTACTAGGCACATTGGAACATTTCCCAGACACGCAGATGGAATAATTGGTCAGTTACGGCGTTTTTATTTTAAAATCGTGGCATGAAAAACGGTGCTAAAACCGCTTCATACATGTATTTATGTGCACTGTCGGACACTATTAGCGCGAACACGGCGCCGGCGCTTTCCAGCATGGGGGTATTACGTGCTAAACGAACGAAGGACATGTGGAAAACCAAGAGAGACGGCAAGAACTACGCAGTAACACTGGATCAGTAACTCCTTGTGCTTGCAGACGATCAAAATAAATTGAAAGTCACGTAATATAGTCCGATTTGCAATAAATAAGTACTGCTCTATTCTTTCTGCTCATAAATACACGCGAAGATGCTTGTTCTGTATTCAAATCATCACCCGCACCTCCAAATCTTTGCAAATAGGGGGAAGCCAGAGAACAGGTGCGCGATAAAAACTGCCCAACATAGGAAATACATAAGAAAATACACCTTTCGTAGCCCACGTACCTTATTCTTTACGTTTCGAACGTTTTTTTTAACCACTCGTAAAGATGCACGACGGGGGCATTTTCATATAGTGAGAGGACAGGCATATTAGCAATATATAAGAACCAACGGAATGCTGGCGAACTTTGAACACACTCTACATTCCTTTCGGTTGTTATTTTGCTTGGAAACGTCGCTCGTTTCTACATACCTGCCATGAAACAGAGGTTTGGGCCTGAAATATAGCGAAGTTTAACATCGTTCAGTGGTAAAGGAAAAATGCTGTAACTAAAGCAATTACACTTTCACAATATTAATAAAGGTACATCCTACCCGGTACAACCGAAATAACAAAAGTTGTTCATGTTATTTTCCGGCGACGAGACAAAATTCACGCGCGTTTTCCCATAGGAATACACAGGAAGACTGGAAAAGTAGACTGCATGCTGTCTGCTTCAATTTGCAACCGGAAGTCCCATAGACACTAGCGCCAGCTGAGCCTCTAGCGTTTATTATAATAACTCTATGGCACTGATCTCTATGGCCTAAA